TATGGATACACTGATGCTAATCAAAATTGAAAGAAAAAACCGTAAATGTTCTTAGCATGTATTAATTTGGATAGTTTCTGATATGACTGCTGGGGCAATCTTGAAGAAATATCTGATATAGTCTAAAATAAGTGCATTCGCAGACCGCTTAAGGTATAAGAAATGATCGTTAGAAGCAATGAAAATAAAATGGTGAAATTTGATAAAATTATTATATGTATATCAATTCTGATTTTTCTAGAGAAGTTGAGATTATACAACATTATCAAATTATAAATAAAGATTACGCAGACAATAATAGTCCATAGAATATAACGTAGTTTAGACATTTCAAAAAACCAAGCCTTAATCCTATATAGAAACATTCCGAGAATTTTGCTTATAGTAAAGTTGGGATGCATCAAAAATTAAAAATCGGTAGCATGGAATAACTTCCACCTTCTTCCTTTTGTTTTAATCGTTGACTTGACTTTGAAATTTCTACGACAAATTAAATATAATTAACACATTGTCGTGAGACAAGAACAATTCAATATACATATTAGTAATAGTTACCATTTAAATATATTAAGTAAATTACTTTATCATTTTTATGCACTTTAGCGTTAATATAAGTCAAAAACTCGTAAGTGTTGTCTTCAATTTTGAACTGTTCGCCACAAACGTATATGAAATAGTATACACTAGTCTTATTGGTTTATATAATCCGGAAATTTGGAATCCAATTAAATTTAAAGCTGCACATAGTTGCTGTGTGCGTTGAGGAGCAAGTAGTGACTAAAATGTCATTTGTTAGCTACGAAGAAACGGCCTTTTGATTATTATTTATAACTTCTTAGAATATAAGGACATGTAGTAAAGTAATTTCTAAGTAATTTCTAAGTAATTTTTACATACGGATTATCATTTAGCACATCTAAACTAAGAATAATGTAGAAAGCATCGATTTTACATAAAATAAAAATTATTCTATTTAATTAAATTGTAATACTTCATATTTCTATCGCAACATTGATATTCTCTTTAGAGACTCAACCGGATAATAATTTTGGTTTCTAATAACCTTTATCTATA